GACTTCTCAGCATCTATTCATTCTTGAAACACATCTCAGTTTTCCCTTCCAGTTTTCTGCTGTTTATCTCCCCCAGGGATCTGTTCTCCGACTTTTCCTCCTCTTTCTCTATTTTTTTTTTTTTTGACTAAAGTTCACACTGTTCCATGGCTTCAAATATTCTTTCAATGCTGACAATTCTCAAATGTCTCCAGCTGGTTCCCCTTCCCTGAACTCCAGTTTCCCACATCCACTTCCCTGCTAATCTCCCCATTCAGATGTTTAATAAATATCTTAAGCACATATGACAAAAACTTCCCTCCCCACGACACCATTCCCTTTCTTTGAGTGGTATATTGGGCCAGAATCATGGCATCGTCCTTGTTTCCTCCCTTGCCCTTATCAGCTGTATCCAGGTCTCTGTGAGTTCTGCTGACTTTGCCTCCAAATATGTTTCCCATCACCTCATGGTGCAGCCTGCAGCCACCACCGTCATCTCTCACTAGGACAGAGGCTCTGCTTCCCTACATTCTACTGCCCACACCATGGCCTGAGTGATATTTCTAAATGCTTAGCTCCCCATCAGGCCCCACACGCCTGCCTCCACATGGATCCCTAAGACCCTTAGAATAAAACTCATACTCCTTTCTGGGGCCATATGGCTGCATGTGCTCTAGTTGCTGCTTCCTCCACACCCATATCTCCTTCCTCTCAGCAACTCATGTCTATACCCAACCACATCGTCCTTTGTGCCTAGAGCACCCACACTCTTTCCTAATGGCCTAGCATGTGAGTCCTTTATGCCTGAGATATCCCCTCCACACACCCCCACCACCACAATGTTCACATGTCTGTATCTATTCCTGTGTTGTAGTATAAATTCCTAGCAGGCAGAGTTTCTGCAGGTTTTGCTCACTGCTGTATCCTCAGTATCTTCAACAATCCTTAGAACATAGAATAAATACCTCTAGTCTGACTGTCTCTCCAAAGCTTCGTTGGCCTCTTACTGCTTTTAGGATGGACACTATGCTTTAGCTGGGCATTCAAGGACCACAGCGATTAAACCACTGTCCTCTCCAAACTGTATTTCCTCCTGCTGTTCTACTCTCTTCCAGGCTCAGATGTCTTTGCTCAGTTTGTTTCCTCTGCCTGTACGGTCCTTCATATCTAAACTCCACACTTCTACAGTATCAGACTAAGAACAATCAGGACTGATCATCTCCTAGATTAGCTCAACCCATAACAATATTTCTCTATTCCAATTCCTGTTGTTTTTCTATCTCCTCCTTTCACAGGGCATTACGATATTTTGTTGGGGTCATTTTCATGGCTGTCTTATCTCCCCAGTTAAATATAAACTCACCAGAAACAGGATAGGTTATATTTTGACTATCCAGTACCATCACATATTATAAGTAGAGATTCAAAGTCTGTACATGAATAAAATGCCTTTTCTAATGCTTCAATGGGTAGAGACCAGTTGCAGTCATTTATTTTGCCTACGGGTTCCAACCCTGTTCAAAGTGCTAGCTTACCTTCCCTGAGGAGACACTTTTCAGATATGATTTCAACATCACCAGCCTTTTTTCTTACATGGGCCTCCAGTTGATATTTCTGCACTCTCACCCTCCAAGGTTTATTTTCCACTTCTTCTCTTTTTTTTCCACTTATTTTCTTATTCAACTTAAAATTCAGAGCCTGAGATTACAGCAAAACTATGCAAGGAAGATAAACACAAGAATTAACTAAACTACCATATGTAAATTGGCCCCAGTACTCGAGTTGGCATGGAGAGGGAGATGAATAAAAACAGCTTTAAATTACAGGTTCTTCTCAAATGAATTCTACCTGCCTAGCATGCCACGTGCCTATTTGTCATAACTAAAATACTTATTGACGGGCCTCCCTGGTGGTCAGTGGTTGAGCGCTGGGCTGCGAAGCTGCCTGCAGCCTCTGCAGTGCCGGTTTGATCCCCAGCCACCAGGCGAGGGTCCCACATGGTGCGCAGACCTCTTCTGCCGCCCACTGCTCCCCTCAGCAGTGTACTTCGTCAGTCTGCCTGCTCTGCTCCCCGCTCTGACTGGCGAATTCTCTCACCCTCCCGCACTTCTGACTGTACCCAGTGCTTGTATAAATAAATAAATAAATCTTTTAAAAAAAATACTTATTGACAATATTGAACTTCTGTGTATGGAGAACTTTCTAGGCTCTCAGTTCTTTTGGGGAAACCAAGAGAAGGCCAGGCTCTGGCTGGCCCCTGCTTGTGCTGACAGTTTTGGAATCAAGACTGACAGCTGTATTAACAGCCCTAATAACAGAAACAGGTTCATTTTTTATGGATTTGATGTCTATTATTATTTTATTTGCTCCTTCCAATCCTGCCAAGTCAGTGTTATTATTCTCACTCTACATGCACAGGAATGAAACACTCTGAGGGGGTGATTCTCCTTTCCTTTTAGAAATGTATATGGCAATATAATTAACATTGTGACAAGTGATAGTCTGGGTACAAGTCCATTATTCTGGCTTCAAGTTCAATGCTCTTTGCAACACAATTTTCATACACTCATTCACTTGTCTGGCATTGCCATCAGCAAATACTTGTTTGGTGCCAGCTATATGTCATGTACTCATTGCATGCACTAAAGGCAGTAAAATACACCTCTAGGCAGTAAAATACGTCCTCTAGAACACAGAGCAGGGGTAGAAAAAGTGTGCCTTAAAGAAAATCACAAAAGAAAGTCCTAAGGGCTGGTCCCAGAAATACTGTCACAATGAACCAGATCCTTATTCAACCTGCATTGCCCCTCCATGAAGACTTTTTATTTCCATTGCCCTCATTCTTGGTACTTCGAGGACAATAGCGATTTCATTGAAAAATGTTTCTTTTTCAATCCTAGGATCACTGAGACAAGGAAAGTCCAGATGGCTTTCAAATTGGTGTGCACATCAGGATGCAGATGTTGTCACAGCAGGAATGCTATGCTCCTCCCCAGGTATAACCTATGGGGGCAATTTGTTCAACACCACCCCTGATAATAGAGCTGATTAATGTTTTGCAAACATTTTCCTGTGGAAATACAGTAGGGAAGTTTGCTATAAAGGACTCTTCCGATGCATCTTTTAAATTGTTATTGTCTGTCCTCCCCAGCCATGTTTATTAAAAAAAAAAAAAAATCCCCACTTTCTATTTCCTACGTCTCATTTCTCTCCTAGTTTGAATTCTGATTCAGCCTTTATTGACACTATTTTTGCTATGGACAGTAACTGCAAAAAACTGCACTGCACTTTGTTTTCAGCCTTTATCTTACTTGAAGTTTCTTCTTTCACATCTCATGCTTCTGTTTCTTGAAATTCTGTGATATCACATTATCTTGTTGATGAGCCCCAACTCACCAATATCTTTAGGCCTGTTAGCACTTAAGTTCCAGCTTCATCTCTCCAACAATTCACAGTGAATCTTTGCCTAGACTCATTTCATTCATTCAATTATTCAACAAATAGTTCCTGGGTGCCCACCAGATGATGAGTAATGGGTGATGACTTCAGACTAACGTGATAAGCAAAAAATGTATGGTTGTCAATGGAGCAGAGCAGGGTGGTGGATGGGAAACATACTCACAGGCAACTCAGTGGGTTTAAAAATGAACTCATAATCCTTGCAAATTTCTCTGTTATCCTATATGTTCTAAATCACTGAAAATTCCCACAGTCATCCCAAATACTTTAAGTCAAAACTTGGCAGTTTTTCTCTGCCTCCTTTTTGCTCACCCACAAACTTAGCTAAGTCCTTTCAAGTCTGTCATGTTTCTCTTCATCTGTTCCTTCTTCTCCAGCCCCACCACCCTTGCCCTAGCCTGGCTCCTCCCCATCTTTTTCCTAGTTTGCCATGTTGTGTCCTCAATGGACTCTTTCTCTGGCTTGAAACCAGCATCCACAGCCCAGCCCTGATCCATCCATACTGCATGGCTAGAGTGACCTTTCTAAACCCAGATTTCAACCTGCTCTTTCTCTGGTAAAATACCTTTGAAAACGCCCTCCCTTCTTAGACATTAGAGATCCTTCTGACTGAGCACTCCAGCCTTACTTCCTGTTGTGCCCTCCTAGTCACCCCTACTACCCCTACGCTGGAGGGATGAATAACAGAATTTCTTGGATGCAATGTGAAAATCCAGTACAAATAGCCTCTCCTTCGGGAAGCCATTTCCAAAATCCTCCCTCAGGCAGGGTGGAGCTGTAACTTTCTCTTGAAGCCACAGCTGCACATTATGCATGGGAATTAGTGTAACTACAGATTGTTGAGCATTTACCCATCCTGACATCATGCTAGACCAGCAGTAATAGGAAAGCGTATTTAAGGACATGAGCTTTGGAGAGAGTTCTGGTTCAAATCCCAATTGTCATTTGTTTAACAGAATGATCTAGGACAAGTTACTTGCCTGAAAAGTACCTTTACATGTCAATTTATTCATCTTTCATATGGGAATAATAAAACCCCTTTCATCAAGTTGTTAAAAGTTTCAATGAGAAAATGACAATGAGACAATATACAAAAAATCCTTACTGGGATCTGTTGCATCATAAGATATTATTAGTAGAAATCATAATTATTATTGTTGTATTAAACTTTATATGTCATGGAGCATTTGCCTCAAAACACTGGAAGTTCTCATTATCTCCATGTCATAATCAAGGAGGTTAAATGATTTGCTCAGATTCATATAATTAGAGAGCAACCAAGCTAGCCTAAGTCCCTACCACAAACACCATTGTAATCTGGTGGAATGTGTTTGCTGTGCACTGCTGCTTTCTCTGCCTGCCAGAAGCTCCCAGGGAGAAAAGACCTTGTCCTATTCACATTTCATATATGAAAAGTTTAGGAATGAAGGAACAAATGAGTAGGCATGTTGCAGCCAATTCAGACTGATGGCTGTACGACTCCAGTCCTGGCAGAAGGGAGAATGATTGGTGTGGTCACGGTGGCAATGGACAAGAGCCATGGCAGGCTCTGAGTCACTCACTCATTGCTTCTATCTGCACGTGGATGAGGTTCTCCAGTTCCTCCTGCAGCGTCTGATGGGGCTTGAGGGGGATGGGCAGGTAGCCGTAGTGCTCCCTATTGCAGAGGTACATCTGGACACCTGAGGACCCAAGAGAAGAGCAAAGACAACCCATCAGAAGACACTCATCTTGGTTTTACAGTGACAGCTTAAGGAAAAGGAGACTGGACCATGGCTGCTGCTGAGTTTGTCACTGAAGCTCAACAAGTAACTGTTGCGGCACTGCCTGCAGATCTCAAAAAATTAGCTTTTATTAAGAAAATAAAACATAGCAATGGGGGGGGGCTAATAAAAACCCTGGGCCATTCTTTAGCTCAGAGGAAACTGATTTCTTTTCTCTGAAGAAAAAGACTATTTGTGGCCTGGAATGAACATGAAAAGCAGGAAAGGATCAACAAGGAGGCAAGGAATCCTTTCCAGAGAACAGAATGGAACACTCTAATCCACCTACAGGAAATAACATGAAGATGGGGAATAAAATCCATATTCGATATGAAGCAAACAAGAGAATCCTGTAGCACTGCCAGATTATGAAAGCTAAATCTAGGCATGTGTAGAACCAAAAAAAAAAAAGGAAATTTGAAATTCTCAATAATCCTTAGTGTTCTGTCTTAGCAGACATGGACTTGGAGTCAACCAAGAACCACGAAATTGCTATACCAGATTCAGAAAGGGACAGATGGAGTCTGCATTTCAAGTCCTGTTAAGAACCTGCAATATGGGGGTAGCAGAAACATGCCACAAACCTCTTATATTCAACAGTGGCCTTCGCAGCTCCAGCTGGCTGGCTTCCCTGAGAGTTCAATAGCATCTGTGTTCAACTCCACAACTAAGAATCCAGCAATCAAGACGGTCTCATAAAGCTCCAGCAACTGACAGTCCTGACCACTGAACGAATTGCTTAATTAAAAGGATGAATCTGCCTGGCACTGACCCATGTGTCCCAGTCTCTGATTTGTTAATTGCCATAATCATCCCTGCTCTCCCAAGAGCGAATTGCCTGCACAGTGACTGCTCTATGTCATGCCAGTGAAATTCCCTCCCATCAGCTGCATCACCTGCCAAATCAGGTGAAACTGTCTCATGGCATTAACAGAGAAGAATAAGAACAGAAAAGAGGTTTTGTCCTCTTTACTGAATCTGGCTCCAATCAGGGCTGGTCCACTTGGAGCAGTGACACTTCTCTTGCCTTCCCCAACTGAACTCACTGTCTCAGCTATTTGCCTGTATGAACGCTTTTGGAGGACTTCAAAGCAAAACGAATCCTCTTGCAAAGTCATGATGAATTTAGGAAGTGGAAGGGAAAAGATTTGATGTGTAGTTGGCCTCTGTACCCTACTTAGGTAAATCATTTTACTATTTAACTTTCCAAAGCTTCAATAAAAAGGCTATACCAGCTAAGCTATCCATCAAGTAGGAGGAGACCAGAGAGGCCATGAGACACGCAAGGTCATCAATGTTTACCTCCATCACACTTTCTCAGAAAGCTTCTGGATGAGTAGAAGAAGATGAAGCAGGTAGAGGGAAGAAGGGAGGAGGAAGATTACAAACCAGGAAGACTTAGGAGTCCCTGCAGAAGAGGAGAAGAGGGTTCCTGACTGAGACCTGTGGGCTGCTCAGGTTAGATCTAGTATGTCAGAAGGTTTCAGAGAAGACATCTTCACAACCAGGCAAAGAGAACTTCTGTTGACTAGGAAAATCCCAAGAGGAGTATTAGACAATTAGGGATTAGCTTTGGGTTGTATTCAAAATAATAAAACTACATTAAAAATGGGGGACAATTCACATGATCCTACTAGCAAAAACAATGACCAACAATCTCTCTTAAATTACCTTGTAATTATACAAATGGTCTGCAGGCACATGAGAAAAATGTTCAACATCACTTATTATCAGGGAAATGCAAATCAAAACCACAATGAGATACCACCTCATTCCAGTGAGAATGGCCCATATCAAAAAACAAAACAAGAAACAGAATCGCAGATTGGTCCAGTCCCTCTGGAAAACTGGAGGTTTCTCCAAATAATAAAAATAGATCTACCATATGATCCAGAAATTCTAGTCCTTGGCATTTATCCAAAGGATGCAGTAATTCACAGGCATGAGTGCACTCCTATGTTCATTGCAGCTCTATTCACAATAGCCACATTGCAAAAACAACCTAAGTGCCCAACGACAGATGAATGGATTAAACGTGGTGTACATACACAATGAAAGACCACTCAGGTATAAAAATAGATGAACTCTTGCCATTTGCAACAACATGGATGGCACTGGATGGGATTATGTTTGAAGTAAGTCAGAAGGAGAAAGACAAATACCGGATGATTTCACTTGTATGTGGAATACAGAGAAACAAAACAAAGGAACTGACAAAATTAAACCAAAACAAAGCCTAGAAATATGATTCCAGAAGAAGGGGAGGGTAGTAGTGGGAAAAAGGGGTGGAGGGGCCCATTGGCATATGATAAAGAAACATGGGTGCGCCAGTGGGGTTGGGGGTGATACACAGATGAGGAGGTGAGAACTTACTCCCCTGAGTGCTCTAACCCAATGTGATCTCAATAATAAAACTAATAAATTAAAAATTACCATGTAACTATCAAGAAGACGGAGTGATGAGAAGACTGTGTTTGTGTGGAGGGGGCAAAAGAAGGAGAGAGCGCTAACTCCTTGCATTTGGTGGTGGAGAATTGATAGATAATGCCAAAAATAAACCCAGAAAATCAAGAAAACAAGCATGTTATTTAAACACATGGATGTAAGTGGCACACTAATGTCATGTGGAAGAATTTCAAGTTTTTGTCTTCTAGAAGAGGGAACTTGGACAAGGGATGATGTGCAAGGGATTTCAGATTTTATAATAAATCATGGGGGGACAATGTGAATTCTTTCAACTATATGCATGAAAATTTTGGTAAAAATTTTTAAAAACCGAAAAGAAGTGTGTTGATAATTAGTTAAGTGTGTGAAGGAATCTGGCACTCTCAGGGTAAACAATATCCTGTTTGAAGATGAGAGGTGAGTGAAACTATATTTTTGATATTTCCTCTATGAAAATATCAAGCATTTCCTTGTTCTCACATAGCACCTCGACACTGCAGATTGAAATATTTATCTCTATTCTTGTTGATAAAAACTCAGACTCAGGAGGTTGTGACTTGCCCAAAGATATACGGGAAGTCATTAGTAGTAAACTTCTGGCCCTAAAGGGCCAAAGTCAAGTACCCACCCAGGACTATCTCAGCAGCAGTGCCTGCTGCGTTTCCATCCCTGCACACAGGCAGCACTTTTGCTCAGGCCCAGGGACAAGCAGCCCACATCTCTTGCCTCTTTGATTCACAGCAGATGGCTGGCACCAGGCATGGCTCCAGCGGCCACGTGACAGAGCCCAGATCGCTGGCCACAGACAGATGTGAGCTCCTGGCCCTCGTGACATCCCCAGGGACATGCTCGATGGGCCATGCCCACAGCACAGCTACTGGGGTCACTGAGCAGCCCCTCTCCCTCATCACTCACATGTGTCAATGACTGCAGTCAGGGGTGAAGGATAAGGGTTGGTGCTACAGGGACATGCAGACACTTATTTTGGATGTTTAATAAAAGGATACTCTGTATTTTGGCATTATTTACACTAGCTAAGATAGGGAGGCAACCTAAGTGCCCACTGAAAGAGGGTTGGATAAAGAAGAGTGATGTATAATATATCAACGGATATATTGTAGACAAGGGAATATTATTCAACTATGAGGCAGGATGGAATGTTGCCATTTTCAGCAAAATGGTCAGCTCAAGGGGACTTGCCAAAGCAAAGTACTCCAGAAAGATAAAGACAGTGATTGGGTGATTTCACAGATATGGGTAAAATAAGGAAAAAAGTGGAGGAACTGATAAGGCAATACAGTTATAAACTAGCAGACACTGGTAACCAAACTGAGGTTTCTGAAGTTAAGAGGGAGCGGGGAGGAGGAAGGACCAAGGAGGCTTAAGGGATGGTGGTGGCAGTGGGAGGAACATTTAAAAAATAAAAATAAAGGATGCTCAATGAATGAGGCACAGCTGGGGAGCTTGAGTGCCTTCCATCAAGACTCAAGAGAGAGGGGAGTTGCTTTGCTTCAGACCTAAGGAGGGAAGAACGCAGAGATGCCCTGTAGACTGTGGGGGGCTCTCAGGCTTACTCAAGACTCCTGAAAACACTCCATGTCAGGTGAAGCACAACCTTAGGTCTGCATGCCTGTCAGGAAAGCCCTTTCCTTTCCCACCTGACAGTCACTCTACGCCATCTGGACTCCTGACCTGCCATAGATCTGACCCCAGGCTCTCACTCTCTGGTAACTAGGACTTATGTCTCCATAAGTAAAAGTCGAAGGCTAGATTTGGACTTTTAGGGGTGAACCAAATATAGAATATACATGTTATTCTCCACAATGAGTACCTGAGATATATAATGTTATGAGGCAATGTTACTTCAATTAAAAAAAAAAAAGCGTAAAAAAGATCTTCTCTCCCTGATTGACACAAAACCTAACACAAAGCTGGGCACAAAAGCAAATCTCAGAGTTCTGCCTCTCTCTCCTTCCTCCACTGACTGAATCACCAAGCAACCCTTGTCTCCACACCAGCTTTCAGTGTCCAGGGAAGGTCAGTGGGAAGTCTGATCAATGAAGACTGAAGCATCAGTGAATAGGCCAAGCAAAGGGCCAAGCTAAAAACTTCCTACCCAGCCCCAAATCTAGTTATTGGTTCAAGAACACATGTCATAATAGTTCAGTGCAAGGGTCACAATAATGTCTTGTGTCGTGACCATAAAAGGAGGGCTCTGTTGGGCCCAAGAGCATGGCTGTCATTGTTAATAGCTGGATCTTGGCCATTGGTGTCCATAGGGACAGCAACACAGAGGGTGCTGTTATGATTATTGCAGACAATTAATTGGCCCTAACATTACTAAGAAAGGAAGTTCATTTACTATCATGGGAGTATCTTTTAATAAGATGCAGAAAGCAGAAGAGTTGGTTATTTCAGTGATTGCACAGTGGCAGCACAACTGAATACCAGCAGTACCTGCTTGCCTGCTGGAGAAGGCAAAGACAATGATGTCATCGAAGGTCCAAGTGTAGTCCTGGTGTGGGGGGTAGAATGTCAGCTTGTCAGAAGCTTCCTTCCTGAGGTCAATTAGGAATGTGGAGTGGACCATTGGGACTGGGAAGCAGCCCAATCTCTTCCATTCTCTAATCTGAACGTAGTCTGGGGTCCGTTTATAGAAGCCCTATAAAAGAAAGTTGGTTGGTTATGCTCTTTGATCTGAGAACTTCATCTTTCCCAGTCATCTGCTAAGTTGATTTCTCCTAACTTATCACAAGTAAAATGGAGGCCCCCCAACCATGTCACCTCCATTCCCATGATCTTCACCTAAAAATTTCCAATTATGGTCCAGAAATGGTATCCACATATAAAAAACATGAAAAGGGTCTCAGTGTCAAAAGTAATTTTGGTTCCAGCATATCTCTTGATTTAATAAATTCATAAAAGTGTATTTTATGTTGATTTATGATTGAAAATTAAACTGGAATATTAAGAGATGGTACAAAGCAATTAACAGCACAGATTTGGTGACTGACTTTCGAGTTCAAATTCTGCTCAGCTATGCATGGCCTGTAGGTATTGGCCAGGTTGCTGAACCTTGCTGGGCCTAGTCTCTCAACTGGATGACAAGAGTGATGATGTGATCTACTCCCTGGGGTTGCCTGTGAAAATTAAGTAAGGTAAAGCCTAAAGAGTGCTTAGAATAGGGCTTAATGCCAAGAAAGCGTTGATAAGTATTGGCTATTATTAAAATTATAACATTACACTGTGGTTAATATTTTTAAGTAGGCATGTACAGACCACCCTTGAATAGAGAGAGGGTTAGAGAACCACCCTGCCCCATAAGTGTGGGTCTGCTAGACTTAAATGGCCTGCTTGGCTACCATTTTGGTTATGTGCAGTTCTGTCCTCCAATACAGGGTCAAAACAACCTGGTGAATTAGTTACCTGACTTAAAAGAATATAGGATGCCAGACCCTACAAGGCTCAATTTTAACAAAAGCAGGATGCTTCACTGTCCTGGAACAATGGGTATGCATCATGAGGTATGACCTGAATGCCTGGGGGCGAGGGGTATTGACTGATGCATGACCCTGCCCTCCCAGAGTGATCAGCTGAACACCTTATCAATAAGATTGCAACCATGAGTAAGGGTATGTTTTCCATTTCAATACTGAGTCATCAAGCAGATAAAAAAAATATCTCAGCAGACTCACCTTCCCCTGGAAACCCAGATACATAGGCACGTTTGTTTGTTCAGTTTCACCAATCCTTTCTTTCTTTGTTCTCCTATCATGGCTAACTGATGCTATATTATTATTCATAAAAAGGCCAGGATCTTGCTCTTTCAGCAGCATCCAGCATTGTACAGCTTGCTCATGAATTCTGTTTGTCAGTGTGGTGTTGCCAACACAACACACAGTCAAAAATTTTTGTATCTTATTGTCATTCCCTGTATCTTTGGGTTCTGCACTTGAGGATTCAAGCAGCTAACATCTAAGGTTAGTTGAATCCATGAATGAAGAACTATGGATAAACCACGTATAAGTGGATCTACATAGTTCAAACCTGTATTCCAAGGTCAGCCAGAGTACAACCATATAAATGGGCTCTTTTTTCAATGCAGTTACCTATTCAATACCCTGGTGGAGCCACCAAGGCATTTCACTTTTGAAAGATTCCTCTTGAAACTTCCTTGAGAGCAAGCACACATGACAACCGATACCCATGCTTGGTGGTGTTGAACATGCAGGTTTCAAGGAACCCAGTTTATCTTCCCTCCAAATCCAACTGTTCATTCCACAGACATCTCCTAAGGGCCTGTCATCCTCCAGGACTGTGTTAGGTGCTGGAGGTGAAGCAGGAAAGAGCCAGCTCAGTCTTAGGTCTCATTGGGTACCGAGTCAAGCATGCCACCACTGATGATGCCACTTATATCACCAAAGTTCAAATTCATTTGAGAAAAGATGAAGACAAATCTCAACAAACATACTTAAAATATGTGGAATCTTTGACAGGAATTTCCAGAATGTTCTAGGCAATGACAGTCTCATAGAGGGTGAGGTTTCACAAGGAAAGCATGTGAAGGGCAAGGAATTGTTGGATGCCTAGTTACTCATACATTATTAATCATTCAGATCATTTTCTGTGCATTGTCACCCACCCATTAGGCACTGCAGCCTCTTCTACTGCTTTAGTATTTCGCTCAGTGTCTAGAAGACTGTCCTAGCTGAGCTAACCACTGTCCTAGTGAGCTACCTCACTGACCACCTGTGAGGTAGAGTGGTCACAAATTAAGATTTAGAAGATGTGAATCCTAGTCATCTTAACCATCTCTTAGCTGTCTGATCTTAATCCACGCTTAACCTCTTTGGGTCTCAATTTCTTCCCCTGAGAAATGGAGTAAGAGCTTATATATCTACTTGACAGGGTTATAGAATGGGCCATACATAATAAAGGCTATGAAGAGACTCTGCAAACATAACTTATATGAAGTGTTGTTTAAGAACTGTTTAACCTCCTTCAGTTAGGAAAGCATCTCCTAGCACATCAACTTATAAGCATTCTTGCAAGGGATAAAAGGAACTGTTTCTGTAACAGGGTGGTGCCCAGGAAAGGGGGAAGTTCAAGGTTCCCTGCCCCACCCAAGGAAGGGTGGAGCTGAGCAGGCAAGAGAAGCTGGAGAGGAGACTGGAGAAGAGGGAAGCAGGGTGGGGGGCCAGAAGGAGACCTGGAGGAAGCGCGTGGAGCAGAGAGACAAGTTTCTTTGAAGAAACTGCACTTGCTTCTTGGTCTTGGACTGGTTGAAACAGATGTGGGTGAGAGACCCATGGGGAGGTTAACAATGGCAGCTTTTATCTTGATTTTGATTTTGCTCTTTTCCTCCCAGACTTGTCTAGTTGTTTCTGATCCTTTTCTGTGGGTCCTCACTGGAAGGTGCTTTAGACTTGTGGCAGGCTTTCGGGCATTGCTTTGAGCCAACCTTGATTGACTGGACATTTACCCACAAGGGGATGGGTAACTTCAGGTGCTTGATTTGGAAACTATATTCTTCCCCTTTTCTGTATTGCTCATTAGAAGTTCCTTTTCATTAAAGGTCTTATATATTTTGTCCTGATGCAGCAGATGGCAGACCTATTTAGAATGGGCAGGTTAGGGGATTCTGGGGTGTCCCTCTCCCTGCCCTGTAATAGTTCTTGAAATATCTACTGAAGAATGCACACCAAATATAAAGTTCTAGACCACCTGGGAACCATACTCTCAGAATGAGAAGCTTGAAAAATTCATGCTGATGTTGAGTCACTGAATTTCTTAGGGGCAGCAGGGAAGGAAGCAGAAAAAAGAGAATAAGTATGCATCCTGCAGACAGATGGAGGCAGTAGATGTGTCTGTTTTTCCACATAAATTGAGTGTTGTTGTTAATAATTCCTGTTCACTGGCAGACAACAAGGTCATTTTGTTTGGGGTGTGTTTGTAAAGGCTCTGGAAGCCAGGGCCAGCCTGAGGCTTGTGAAGTCACTGGCTGTCCCTGGTCCTGCCCAAGAAGAAGCCCGAGGGGAATGGTAAAAAGCCAAAATCAGATGGTGAAAAATCAGAAATGCCACTCACTTGTGCACATTTTACTTTTACTGTGAAAATCAGCTGAGCATATTGCTCTGCTTACTTTAATGATTAAAGCAAGAAAGGAGATATATAAACCTGGAGGCTGAGTTCACTAGCTTAATCCACCTTAGTTGCTGTTGTCAGTGGTTAACTCATTAAACATGCTGCAGATTATTAACTAAGAGTGTACAAGGACCTAACAAAACCTTTTCTCCCCAAGAAAATGAGTGGATTTTATGAATATGAACTTAATTCTCCTTAAAAAGTGATAAAGATAATAAGATTTATTCGAGAACTCTTGCAATTGCAAGAATAATTATAACAAAAGAAATGTCTCATCTGATAGTGTGCTAGACTCAGTGATTGTCAGTTTTTCATGAATTCTGCAAACCGGTTGACATGCTGACATGTTGGTAGCTTAAAATCTATGAAAGCAAAAATCATATTAATCCCCATCATTCTAACACCACCTCAGGAGCAGTTTGGTGTATGTTTAATAATTATATATCAAGTGGCTATACTGCAATGTATTCAACCTTACCCTCAGCTTAACCAACATTTAAAATATTTGCATGATGGGATGGGTTACTTACAGCATGGAAATGACCAATGCTACAACAAGAAGTCTCCTCCACAGAGGCCACTTTTAACACTTATAAGTTCAATATTGGCTGTATTTTTTCATCCAAAGCTAAACCAAATATAAAAGGATAAAAAGGGGATTCAAAATCTAGCCCTTTGGACAATGTGTTTTGATGCCCAAAAGGCTAGATTTTGAATCCCCTTTTTATCCTTTTATATTTATATCCTTCTCTCTCTCTCTCTCTCTCTCTATATATATATATATATATATACACACATATATATATTACTTTGATCAATTTCTTTGTAATTCATTAATGAACAAAAATATCATCAGCCTTTCTAAGTTTTTCCCATAAAAAAACCTCTAGATTTTGAAGACGTTATAGGAAAAAGTGGAAAAGAAAGAAAAGGGAGATTTAAAATGGTGTTTTTAGCTTGAATTTTGTAAAAATAAGCTACCAAAACAGTTGCAATTATTAGGTTTGTGGAAACCAATTTGGCAGCAACTAAAAGGTTATCAAAGGTTATTTATACCTGTTGATACAATAATTTCACTTCTAAGATGTCATCCTAAGTAAGAAAAATTAAATACAAAAAATTAATCGTGATGGTTATTATAATAAAAGCCTCCAGCAACTTAAATGTTTTTAAACTATGAGAAAGATTAGGTAAGCTGCATTCTAGTCACTGAGTTGGCATTAAAAGCACAGCAGTTAGCTATGACGTTAGAATGGTGGGAATTAACATGACTTTTAAAAAGTCCTTTACATTTCCAAATTTTCCTGTAGTGTTCTTATATTAGTTTTAATGACAAGAAAATAATTTAAAAAAAATTTTGGAATCAGGGAGAAAAAAATGTGCTCATCCCAGCAAGCTTTACTGGCTTATTTTAAACTTCTAAGATGAAGCCCATTCAAGTATTTTCTTTCTAATTCTTTAATACAAAGGTGACCCTGGGCTGGACACTGGGCTGGATTCACCTGCTCTCCTGAAAGTGCTTGCTCCAGTGACACAACGGCGTGCACCACGCAGGGATAAAATGAGAGAAAGGTTAATGGAACCATTGTTGACAAGTGGCTGCCTTGTTAAAACTCACAGCCTTAATTCCTGAGCTGAAGACTTGCCTGAGGAGTGATTCCACACCAGAAGTTAGAGTACAGGCCCCGAGACTCCAGCATGGGGGCCACGATGGTCTTGTTCTCTGCCATCATTAGACTGAGTGTCTGTGGATTAGTCAGGAAATTGTCAACATCTATGAACTAGGAAGAAAAAAAGGATTGTGTCAGGTGAAGCAGTACTTGTCAGTAATGCATTCAAAAGTAACCCCGCAATGCCAATGGAACACAATAGCATGTGGTTCCCCAGAAGTTGACTGGAACCAAGTTCTTCATCTGTGACCCTCAAAATCCATGTTATTCCTTTGGCACATGGCAAATCCAGCACAACACTAGAAATAACCCCAATAATGCAAAGCTTGTATTGTTTCATTAAGCTGACTGGCTTCTGCTGTCACCAGACTCTTGACCTAAGTCCATCTCTCATTCCACAATCACAACAGAAACCTGCTCAACAAAGAGGAAGAAAAAAATGTACAAATCTCAGCAAGATTTACTGGTTAATTTAAAACTTCTGATACTAAGCTTGTTTGAGTATTTTCTCCTTAATTCTTTAATACTGAAGGGTCCCCAGGGTTGAGCCCCTCGTGACATGGAACTGTCACCTATGTTCTTTTTATGAAACTTAGTTGCAGCTGGGTGGCTATTTCAGCAGATTGTATGTAGTCTGACATCAACATGTTCTGCTCTGCAAGGGGCACCAAGCAATGAATTGCTATTACCAGACTGGGTTCATACATACTCAGCCAGGGCCCATATGACATCTTGGTTAGTGGTTTAAGTCCAAGATATTAATGGTTCCCAACCCCCAAGATATTAATGGTTCCCAACTGACATCTTGGTTAGTGGTTTAAGTCCAATATATTAATGGTTCCCAAGCCCCTAAAGAGTCATTCAGAAACACTTATTGATAATCTGCTAGTTTCAAATGGAAAAGCCTATGGAAGGTTGTCCATCATAATGCCAAAATAGCCCCAAACAGACCATCAATGCTACATTAGTATTACAAATAAAAATTTTGTTTAAAGTACATTCTATCAACCCATGTTTGCCTATGATGCTATTTCTCCTTCTTAGAAATGCACGATCAGGGCCTCCCTGGTGGCACAAGGGATTAAGTGTCAGCACTATGAAGCTATCCACAGCCACTGCAGCATGAGTTTGATCCCTGGCCAGAGAGCAACCCACATGGTGCAGTAGACCTCTCCTGATTCACCCACTGGTCCCCTCAGCATTGTATTTCAGTAGATCTGCTTGTTCTGTTCCCCACTCTGTCACTGGTGAGTCCTCTCACCCCCCACACCACTGGCCTGTACCTCAACTCTTGTATGCATAAATAAATTAAATAAATCATTTTTTTAAAAAAAAAGAAATCCAGGCCTCCCTGGTGGCACAGTGGGGTGAGTGCAGCGCTGTGAAGCTGTCCACGGCCTCTGCAGCACTGGTTTGATTCCTGGCCAGCCAGGAAGATTCCCACATGGTGCAGAAGACCTCTCCTGTCGCGCCCGCTGCTCCCCTCAGCAGTGTACTTTGGTCCTTCTGCCTGTTCTGCTCCCTTTTCTGTCTCTGGTGAATTCTCTCACCCTCCGTGCCTCTGGCCTGTACCCCAGTGCTTGTATAAATAAATAAATCTTTAAAAAAAAAAGAAATCCATGATCACATTATTTCATTTGCAGGGACAGTACAACAGATTCTAGCTTATAAAATAAGCACATTAAGCTATATTTTTTTAAACTCACACTTCAAAATGACTAAAATGTAGATTTTGTGTTCTGTATGCTTTACCACACCCTAAAAATAATCAGAAGCTTTCATTTTTATGATAGTCAATCTGTTTATCAAAACTTTTGTGGTTCAGCATTTGTATATTTCAGTATTTACACAGCTATACAATACTTGATACTGTAAGTACAGCATTTGTATTGAAAGTGTGTGATAAATTATTGAGCAGGTTTCTGTTGTGTTTGTGGGATGAGAGATGGACTTAGGTCAAGAGTCTGGTGACAGCAGAAGCCAGTCAGCTTAATGAAACAATACAAGCTTTGCATTATTGGGGTTATTACTAGTGTTGTGCTGGATTTGCCACGTGCCAAAGGAATTACATGGATTTCAAGGATCACAGATGAAGAATTTGGTTCCCATCACCTTGTGGAGCCTGTGTCAGTTTTCAAAAGGGAAGTGGGTACTGTAGCTACTTGTTGCTTAGGAAGTGCCCTCCTCCTGCTCCTCCTGCTACTCCTCCTCCCCAACCCCTTTCTTTTCCCTACCCCTCCCCCCTGCTCATGGTTGGGGGAATGAGGATGGATATAACATTGATTCCTAGTCATCAAGTCCTGAATTCTCCATGAGAGCCCTGTAAATAGGAGCAACCAAGAAGCCAAGCAAGATATGCCATATCCCAAATCACTCAGGAGCAATGGGGAATTGAGTTGTAAAAATGTTAATTTTAATATTTTTCTATAATTTCTCATATCTGCAAAAATTTTTTTCAAAAAGACAATTTATATTGCTTTACCTATGGCATTCCTGAAGAACTAAGTTTTGTTTCTTTTGCATTTTATATGAAGAAAGAGAAAGTAATTCAAGAGCTTATTCGCTTATTCAATGAAAACCCATGGCAGGGTAGGTCTGAGATGAATTCCAAGTTTTCAGTATAAATTCCCCAATTCTTCTCTGTGTCTTTATTTAAAGTGGAGGAGATGGTGTCTAAACAAAGGGTCGTTTTGATTATTACTACAGTTTGAGGTTTTGGACAATGAATTTGGACACCTTCTAGTGAGCAGTTATTAAGGAATCAAATGTCTGTTTTTACCAGAATGTAGTCTGACCATTTTTCCCTCGCAGTTCGAAGAGCTGCTTGTCGTAATTTCATCACATGGGCAAACCGGGAGCTTGGCCAGTGCTTTGGTCCAATTTCATCAGGATAAGACCTAAAATAAACCAATAATAATGGCTTATAATGATCGATACATCTATATATTCCAGGCTCTATCCTAAATGTTAGTATGTCTAACTCTTAATCTTCAATCAGCTCCAGGAAGTTTATGTTATTATTGTCATCATTCCCAAATTACAGATAAGAAGACTGGAGCAAGGAGAGATTATGTAACTTCCTGCTAAACATACACAAGACGCTTTATATGAAAAATTTCAGTGTATTCTAACAAGAATCTACTGAGTCCCTCTGAGGTAAGTGCTATCATTCTCCCAATTTCATAGAGAAGGAAATTGGTGTAGAGCAGTTAAGTCATTTGCCTAATATCACACAATTAATAAGGGACAGAGTCAAGACTTTAATCCAGGCATAACCCCAAAGCTCATGTTCTTACACAGTTTTTAAAATACATTCTGCCATCGAATATATTTGGAAATTTTTCAGCATAAATATATGACATTTCAGGAAAAACAAAGGGTCAATTTCCTTGGTCATGTCTCAGTATGGGATTCCACTGAGCCTAACACATTGATTTATCCCAGGTGATGTGAGGTCAATGAGCAGCTGCATAATTCCTTGGGGTCTCTGTCAACATTCACAAAACAGCAAGGACAGGAGTCTCACATGACCACAGAGGCAGTGACTTGGCACACCCTGAGAACCCTCCTGAAGCCCCCCAATTAGTGTGGACATCGGTACTGTCCTAGTGGCCCCAACCTGGCCACCACTTACAATTCTTGTAGCTTTTTGGTCAGTGAATTTTCATTTGCTTCAGTGAATGAAAACAATACAAAAACAATAAGATCTTAATGATACAAATAAGATTAATAAAACTGTGTGATGTACAAGAATTCTCTGTGATGTCTTCCTCAATTATTCAATGAAAATTAATGTAATTCCTATTTTTCCTGACTATATTGCCCAAAAAATGCCTTGCTTAATAGTTCTTACACTGACCTTGGCACACAATGGAACAGTCACAATCTGGCTACAGAGAAAGTTACCAGGATGCCAGGTAGAGACATAAAGTCCTTCTGCGCTATTTTAATTAGGTCAAATACTGATATACATAATGTTAAAAATCTTTTATAGTGTTCAAATTTCATTGCCATATATTTATATGGACCATATGCTGGGATATATAATAAAAGCATTATAGAGAAGGAAAAAAATTTGCTCTGGAGTGACATTTACTATTATTATTATATAAGTTTGGCTTTCAATCAATGACTAATCCCGGGCAAAAATTCAGGTAACTTAATTCATTCCACCTCTACGATTCCTTAAGTTGGCATGCAGTAACCTTGGGAGCATTTACAATAGTAAGTTTCAACACATTTATTCATATTGTCATTTGTTCACCCAATGAGTATTAATTTAGTGTCTGCCAAGACCTTAGTACTGGGGGAAAATATAAAGTATCTCTTAACTCTAGGCCCTACCAAAGAACCCAAAAATTACTTAGAAAAAGTGAACAAATTGTAGTTAATTAATGAACAAATTATAGTTAATTAACAAAGTGTATTTTCTATTACAATAGAAAATAAGCACTACAACTATTGTCAGAAACGTAGATCTTTCTACATTTACTGGGATGATTAGGAGCAGCTTTCTATAATAGGTGGGATTTGGGATATAAGTTGCTAACAAAGAAGCAAAGGAAAGTAAATCTGCATGACCAAGAAGCTGGGGCTGAAACTAAAGGATCATTCTGGAAAAATCAGTTTTCTTTTGGGAACAAGGATGAAATATGGGGACATAGTTATTGGTGCTAAGTTTAGGGAACCTTTTAAAAAATAGGTCTGAGGTGTATGAACTTTGTTCTGGAGGTATTTGAGAGTCATTGGAGTTCTTGTAACAGAGAAATTAAACCACATCGTTAGAGAGTAGACTGACTTGACATGGTGGTCTGAAAGCTGTCTTCCTGCAAGCAACTAAGAAATTGTTATGGTTAAGAATGGAAACAACCTACATGCCCATCAGTAGGGCATTTATTAAATAATATGGTGCATCCATACATGGATAATATGGGGTCAGAAAAACAACCAGAAAGCTCCTTAACTACTGATGTGGAATGATCACCAAGGCATGGTAAGTGAAAAGCAAAGTGTATGTAAAAAATATATGGACAGGGGGCCTCTCTGGTGGCCCAGGGGTTAAGTCTCAGCTCTGTCACTACTACAGCCTGAGTTTGGTCCCCGGCCAGGAAGCCCGGCCAGGAAGCTAAATGACATATGGCACAGCAGACCTCTCCTGTCTCAGGCGCTGTCTTGCCTGCTGCTCCCCTCAGCAGTGTATTTCAGTGGATCTTCATTCTGTTCCCCACTTTGTCTCTGGTGAATCCTCTAACCCCCACACCTCTGGCCTACACCCCAGTTCTTGTATGCATAAATAAATAAAAATAAATCTATTAAAATAAGTATACAGATATTTCACTGTGATTTCTCAAGTCAAATATTATACTCAAAAATATGAATAAATAATACCAATATTTTACAATAGACCCTGCTGTGCTGATTTACTGGTGAACATGAATGTGGCTGGTAGCTGCAGGAATAAAGAGAGAAAAAATGAAGATCCATCAAAGGAGGATGAACGACGAGGAGAAGTCAAGTGTGCTACCAGCACTGGAAGCCTGCAAGGCTGTAAAATGGTTGAGGGAGGAAAGTAAGTTAAAAAAAGGTTCTCTCTCTACTCACTCAGGTGCATCCATCGGCCTCCACTCCACGTAATGATAGGCTCTTTGTACGTTTTTCAACCACTCCCTGAGTATCTCTGTTGTGTTATCCACGTTGTGATCAGTCGCTGCCCTGCATGAACAAGAACACAATACAGGTCAGTTATAATCATTCAGAGGAAGAGGAAATCCACAGAGCCCACATTAACTCAAAGGTTTGGTATATGTGAAAGTGATTCCTTCATGACCGAATTTTCTGAAGTGAGAGATACGGCTTAAAGTCATCTTTACATTATCAAATCCTTAAACAGGGTCAGCCAATATTACAATCAGAAAGTGGTTGTACATATACAACAAAATTAACCCGGAATAAGCCAATAAACCTTCCTGGGATTTTTTTCTATTTGTTTTAATTTTTAGTTATCCAAGAAAAGTCTGCATTTTATAATTATTATTATTTTTTTAATTTTATATATTTTTTACATCATTTTTGCACAATGTATCCATTTTCATCTTGGTTATAGTTCCCATACAATTCCCACCCTCCCTTGTTTTAATCCTATTCCCTCCCGCCTCCCCCTGCCCCCCACAAAGTGTGTCTCTGGTTTATAGTTGGTTAGAAAACCTAAATAAGGGACCAGAAAAAAGACTAATTCTAATAAAGTAAAAGTCTGCATTTTTCAAACTTCACTAACAGCCATCTTCAATTTAAGCAATAATTCAGTTGCATTTTTCAAGTCATATTTAGGTGTCAATAATGTTTCTAGTCAATGTTACTTTAATCACATGGATTAAAGGGAAAAGTCAACATAACAATGCCCAATATAAAATTCAGATCTCAGGTACTTGCTATCTATTTTGGATTAACTTTACCATCAAAAACTTTCAAATAATGAATATAAAAATTTCTTTCTGTTCTACCTCGAGATTTCTACAAACACATCCATTTGTAAAGGAGCTTAACTTACTCATTAAAACAAAATATTTTCAAATTATATCACAGAGCAAATCATTCATGTTATATGTAAGACACACCTCTAAAATAAAGTTATCCTGTCCCGCATTGCCATTTTAGAACAGGGACATTTCTCCAGTAAAGACTGCCTGAAACCAGCAGAAGGCTCCCAGAGGAGACAGAGGTGAGCTGGGAAGTTCGCCCACGCCAGGCCCCTTCTGGCCTGCAGTCCGAGCCCAGAGAGGGAGCGGGAACCCACTGCCAGGGCAGAACAGGTGCTCAGGGGAGTCTGTCCCCGCATTGGCATTTTAGAACAGGGACCTTTCTTTAGTAAAGACTGCTTGAAACCGACAGATGGCTCCTGAAGGAGCCAGAGGGGAGTGGAGAAGTTCACCCAAGATGCTGGCCAGTCCCAGCAACACAGTGTCCCAATGCATACGGCAAATTAGAAAACAGACAGTAGGGAGTAGAAGAACTACACACAACATAGCAACTCCTCAGGAAAAAAGCACACCACAAAAAAGAAAACCACCCCCCAGATTGCAACAACAGTAACTTGGAAGAACTTCTGAGCCTTCCAGAAAGAGAATTTAAAATTGCCATGATTAAAAAAATGACAGAACTCATAAAGGAAAACAATGATAAGGGGAAAATAACCATCAGAAGAATGAAATTGAGTCCCTAAAGAGGGAAGCAAAAGAAATGCAGGAGATCAAAGAATTAATGGAGGCACTACAGAACTCTGGGAAAAGCAATGAAAGCAGAATAGATGAAATGGAAGAACAAATAAGTATCTTGAAGACACAGAAATAAAAAGAACCAAAGCAGAAAAGGAAAGAGAAGTACGAAGGAAAAAGACTGAAGAAAGACTTCGGGAACTATCTGACTCCATGAGGAAAGGAAATATAAGAGTTATAGGAATAGGAGGGCGGAGCAACATGGCGGCGAGGAGAGGCTGCGAGTAAGATCTCCCATTAAAAAAAGTTAATAGGGAGGAAAAGCGGCAGGTCCCAGTGAGAACTGGGACACGGAAGATAAACGGGTGACTCCAGCAAACTACCCGAAGAAGAAAGTTGCCATAAAAGAGGACTAGAAGGGAGGAAAGCGCAGAACCCTGCTCCCCTCCCCCACCCACAGAGTCGGCACTCTCCGACCGGCAGAGAGGAGGAAAACAACAAACTAAAACGACCAACAAGAACAAACTACGCAGCAAGTGGGACTGTGAGTGGAAAGGAACTATTGCAGCCACCACACCCCGTGAACGGGAGCTGCGGAGAATCCTGCAGGATTCGCCGCGGAGGTGAGCTCCAGGCACCAATAAAGAGAGACCCCGCCCCCAGGAGGAGGAGGCCAGGACCAGCACACAGCCCCAGGCCACCTGGTAAGCTTGTGCGGAAAAGCGGTGCGCTGGAAAAGCAAACACGGATCGGGATAGCGCGGAAAAGCAGCGCGGTTGAAAAGCAAACACGGATTGGGATCGCGGCTGTCCAGGTCCCTGCGCCTGCGACCTAGGCTTGCAGGGAGACGCGCGCGAAGACCCTCACTGAGGTGAAAGTCCCTCACTGAGTATCCAGGAACCAGGCACCCAGGCACGGGAGCGGGGTGCAAGAGACGCCATTCTGTGGACACTGAACTGGGCTACAGCCCGCGTTCTGGACCTGAGGGCTTTGGAACTGAGATCCGGGGCACAAAATTCGGGGCGTGGGTTCTCCACGACGGTGGGGCACAAGGCAGACACAGCACCCCAAAGCCATTGAGGTTTACCCTACCATTCCCGCTCTGTTTCCTGTCCCACGGGGTGAAAAAAAAAAAAACAGCTCCCCAAGGGCTCTAGGAGAGATCTCTGGCACCACCTAGCGACTTGAAACCAGCAGAGGCTCCTGGAGGAGCCAGTGGCCAGCTGGGAAGTTAGCCCACGCCAGGCCCCTGCCAACCAGTAGTCTGAGCCCACAGGGGGAGCGAGTACCCAAAGCCGGGGCAGACCAGGCGCGCAGAAGAGTGTGCCTGAGACTGGACATGCAGGGAGTGTGTCCCGCATCGCCATTTTAGAACAGGGACATTTCTTCAGTAAAGACTGCCTGCAGAAGGCTCCATCAGGAGCCAGAGGAGAGCCGGGGAAGTTCACCCACACCAGAACACCTCTGGCCTGCAGTCCAAGCCCAGAGAGGGAGAGGGAACCCACCGCCGGGGCAGACCAGGAGCACAGGGGAGTGTGTCCCCACATCGGCATTTTAGAACAGGGACCTTTCTTCAGTAAAGACTGCTTGAAACTGACAGATGGCTCCCGGAGGAGCCAGAGGGGAGCAGAGAAGCTCACCCAAGATGCTGGCCAGTCCCAGCAACAAAGTGTCCCAACGCATCGGCAAATTAGAAAACAGACAGTAGGGAGTAGAAGAACCACACGCAACATAGCAACTCCTCAGGGAAGAAGCACACCACAAAAAGAAAACCAGCCCCCAGATTGCAACGACAGTAACTTGGAAGAACTTCTGAGCCTTCCAGAAAGAGAATTTAAAATTGCCATGATTAAAAAAATGACAGAACTCATAAAGGAAAACAATGATAAGGGAAAAATAATCAACAATCAGAAGAATGAAATTGAGTCCCTAAAGAGGGAAGTAAAAGAAATGCAGGAGATCAAAGAATTAATGGAGGAACTAAAGAATTCTGGGAAAAGCAATGAAAGCAGAATAGATGAAATGGAAGAACGAATAAGTTCTCTTGAAGACACAGAAATAAAAAGAACCAAAACAGAAAAGGAAAGAGAAGTATGAAGGAAAAAGAATGAAGAAAGACTTCGGGAACTATCTGACACCATGAGGAAAGGAAATATAAGAGTTATTGGAATACCAGAAGGAGAGGAGAGAGATGTAGGAAAAGAGAAAATATTCCAGGAGATAATTGAAGAGAACTTCCCAAATGTGAAGAAGGAGCTGAAAATTGATATACAAGAAGCAAGAAGAACACCAAACTTCCATGACGAAAGGAAAAATACAGCAAGACACATAATAGTGAAGCTCCCAAGAATCCAGGACAAGGAAAAAATAATGAAGCTGACAAGAGGGAAGAAACAAATAACATTCAAAGGAAAACAAATCAGGCTGACATCAGACTTCTCTGAAGAAACACTACGGGCAAGGAGAGAGTGGAGGGACATAGTCAACAGACTCCAAGAAAACAGATGCCAACCAAGAATACTCTATGCCGCAAAGCTCTCCTTCCTCTTTGAAGAAAGAATAAGGACCTTCCAAGACAAACAGAAACTATGGAACTTCATTACCAATAAACCCCCACTCCAAAAAATACTACAAGGAGTCCTAAAGCCAGAACCTCAGAGGGACGAATAACAACGAAAGAAGGCAAGGAAAAAAAAAGATATTAAAAGAATAAATAAAATCAAAGGAAAGACAAACACAATGGCAAATACAGTGCTAACATATCAATATTAACCCTAAATGTGAATGGACTAAACTCTTCAATAAAAAGACACAGAGTTGCAGCCTGGATTAAGAAACAAAACCCAACCTTTTGCTGTCCCAGGAAACACATTTAGCTACAAAAGATAAAAATCAACTCAAAGTAAAAGGATGGAAAACAATCCTACAAGAAAATGGACCAAAAAAGAAAGCAGGAACAGCTATACTTATATCAGATAAAACAGATTTCAAACTCAAAAAAATAAAAAGGGATCCCAACGGTCACTACATTATGATCAAAGGGACAATACTTCAAGAAGAAATAACACTAATTAACATATACTCACCAAACGAAGGAGCACCAAAATATATCAGACAACTGTTGTCATCTCTGAAAACAGACATCAGAGAAAACACATATGTAGTGGGAGACTTCAACACACCACTATCAACAATGGATAGATCAACAAGACAAAAAATAAGTAAAGAAACTAAAGCTCTAAATAAGGACCTAGAGCATTTGGGCTTAACAGACATCTATAGAACACTAAACCCCCAAAAAATGGAGGACACATTTTTCTCAAGCGCACATGGATCATTATCCAGGATCGATCACATACTGGGGCACAAGACAAACATCAACAGATACACCAAGATTGAAATCATACCAACCATCTTTTCTGACCATGAAGGCATCAAGCTAGAAATAAACCATAAAAAGAAGGCAAAGAACTTTCCTACCTCATGGAGACTAAAAACCAC